TATGAACAGGACAAAAGAAGAATTCATACAGTCCACAGACACATGAATACTAATGTCTCATTCATTTTCACTTTCGTATCAGAGAAATGTCAAATCTTAATAACCACAATGAGTATTCCATCTTCTTCATCGTTCAGATTGCAATTTATTAACGAAATCAGGAAAAACGTGTGCTGCGAGATGTGTATGTGGACGGATAATAGGATTTCATCTTTTTGACACGTGAGTGGGTATGTAAACTAGCTTCACTCATGTGCTGAAAACTGGTTTGGTGTTGCGATTCTCAATGGATCTGGAAACTAGAAATACCATTTGACCTAGCTCATCTCCATTACGGGTATATACCAATAGCGATTATAAAGTCATGCTGTATAAAGCACATGCACTGTGTATGTTTATTGCAGTGCACTATTCACAATGCAAAGCATTGGATATCCAACCCAATATGCCATCAGCTTCGACAGACTGGATTTATATACGAAATGTTGGCACATATACATATCCATGGATATACTTATGCGCCTAAATTAAGGTTGATGGTTTGTGTTCCTTTGTTAGGTGACAGATGCAGCTGCAAACAATTTTCTCAGCAACATATTTTCTCAAGTAACAGAAAGCAAAATTCACTTATGTTTTCTCAACTCATAGGTGGGAAAAATTGAACCAATGAGATTCACTTGGACACAGGGGAAGAGGAACATCACTACACTGGGCTATTATGGGGAGGGGGTAGTGTGGAGGGATTAGGCATTGCGGATTGATTATTCCTAGTATAATGACGACTGGTTAATGGGGTGCAGCACCACCAACATGGGGCATCATGTATCTTACTAGTAATGAACAACCCTGTCACATTGTGCACGAGGTTCGTACCTCGAAGCATGAAAGGTATAAGTATAAAAATAAAAAAAAGAGCCCTTGACCTGCCGGGGATAAGGCAGATAAGCCCTTGCTTGCCTTTAAGTCATCAGTGTGAAACTCCTAATAGTAATATGATAGTCCGTTGCTAGGATATCATTGACATATATACTACCATGCTGGTATATTCAATAGGTCAATCCTCAGTTTTATTCCAAAATTGGTCTACATGATTTGCTAATTTGTCTACTTGCCAAATTTTATGTGTAGCCCCTAGATATATATTCATAGCACTTTCACAATCATTCATGAATATGTGCAGAGAGGTACAAAATTTGAGTCCCTCAAAGAACATGTTTCTGAGGTAGAAAAAGGTGGTGCTCTGTCTTCACGTTCCAGCTCTCACACAGTAAACAAGAGTCCTTTTTGTAGTATATATAGTGCCAACTTTTTCACATTTTTGTGTATTTGGTTGGTGATTTCACAATCTTAAATGGCTCCCAAGTGTAATGCTTAAGTGTTGTCTCATTTTCCTAAGCATAAGAAGGCTGTGACATGCCTTACAGAGAAAAATGTGTGTTAGATAAGCTTTGTTATAGTTACATGGCTGTTGACAATGAATTCAATGTTAATAAATCAACAGTGCAGTACATGCAGGAAAAGGGGGAAGAAATTCACCCATCTGTAGGTGAGGTTGCTTGGAAAAGTAACATCTATAATGCTATGCTGAAGCTATGGGAAAATAGCTACATTTGTGGATTTATGAAATGACAACCATTTTTTTTTAAGTATAGTGGACAGCAATGTTGTGAGGCTGAAAACCAAAGAAATTTATGATCATGTTAACTAAGGTCAGGAATATACTAAACACTTCTTAGATAGTGTTTATTATATGGAAATACTGCATATAATGAATTAATTATAAATATATACATATATAAAATAAGATGTCTTTAAACAGAAACACACATAAAACAAGCTTATGTATTCATCGGTTAACAAAAATGTTGTGAAAAAGCTCACAAGAACCTAACACCTGTATTTCCCTGGGAACAATGGCTAAGTGCTCACGAATTCAGTGTTTGCAGCAACTGCAGAGAATATAACTGTCGTGAATAATAAGAATGTGCAGTACGATATTACTTGCCTTGATCTCACTTCAATCTTGAGGAGCAACACTCTTGTTCCCTTGTTTGATCATTTTCTCTTCAGTGACACACTTGTACTACATCTCAGGCATCACTAGCATCAGTGCCTCACAAATTTTAGTGGACTTGTGAGTATCCTGCTGATTTTCCAAAATACAAATTATAATTCAGTAAATCTAAGGTGAGGCCCAAATTCTACCTTTCTAACAAGCTCCAATGTGAGAACTCTGCTGCTTGTCCCTGAACCACTGAATAGTAAAGATATACATCCTGCCTTGCATACCTGCAACACTAATTTAACTCGAATACTCTCCATAGTTGAATGATAGGAGTAGTAAGAGACAAAATTGTGTTTCTCCTCTGGAGCTCAGAGAACAAACTAAAGAACTAGGAATGTGTAAAATTTCCTCCAAGCAAGAAGGCTTTTAACAAGAAGAGTATCAAATGTCTCAACTACTTCAAAAGCACCAGGAAGGAAAAGAATAAGAAAAGACTACAAATTTGGCATAAATTCAACACAGAGTTTTATTGAGAACATGTTTCATGAAGGCAAGATCCTTCACCAGAGATGCATATATTAAAAACACACATACTTTGCATTGAAGGAATAGCAAAATTAGAAGAAAAAGGGGGACCTAAATAGCTGCAACGAAGGAGAGGAAGTGAGGAGTACAGTTAGCAAAGTACGGCTGCAATGTGGTGGGAGTTCAGACCAGGAAGAGACTGCTTCCCACTTGTGAGTCAGGGAAGGCCCTCGGGAATAAGGGACATCTATAACAAGCCTGATGATCCATTAATAGTTAAACACGTGAAGACTGCTAGGATCCCATTCCATTTGGAGATAAAATTTGAATTTTAAAGTCCCAGAACCCAGGTCAGAACAACAAATCCTGCAAAACTAAATTGAGCTTATATTGACAAATGGTCATTAATCAGAAACAAGCAAAACTGACAAAAGTTTTACAAGGAGAGTTGAGAGGACGTCATCACCACGATGTGTTCAGGTGTATCCTGAGCTTTTGAACTGCTGGTCTCTCACCCCAAAAGGAGATGGGTGACAAGGAGGACCATGGTGTATCTTAACGGAAACTGGATGAAAACAGAGATAGAAGTCATTGTGAATAAGGTGGAGCTAAGAATTGAGGAGTAAGAGGGAAGGGGACTGGGGAGAGAAGAACTGAGGAGAGAGAAACAAAAAACATGGGAAGACAAGTGGGATAGGGACTAAGAGTAGGAAAGACACATGCCAAGAACTCACCAGCATTTCCTGAACCAAAGCACAAGACCTATCAGAAGAAGCAAAGGCACTATCACCGCCAAGATGATCAAGCCCATGGAACTGTGATGTTCTGTGAATTTGGAGAGACACCAAGGATGTTATAATCCACCCCATTTTACCTCATCCACTCCCTGTTTCACTGCATTCCCTTGGCTTCTTTTTTTCATCTGAGTATCCAACTTACCAATCTCTTTTCTTTTTCTGTTTTTCTCTCATCACTGCTCAGAGATGGATTCTTCATCTTATCCTCAGCATCCTCCTGCATCTACAGTGCCCTTATTTTCAATACTGCCATTTCTTAGCTTACCTATTTTTATTCATGTTGGGGCTATAATCGCTAAAATCCTAAAATTTTCAGCTTGCCCTCCCTCTATGCCTGAAGACCACCTCTTGGCATTTCCAGCCTGGGCTCCAGCTCTTTCTCACCCCAGTAGAGGATGATGTCCTGGCCCTCTAGACTGCTGTGCTTCACCCGACAGGACAGGCCAGCTGCCTCCCCAGCGGCCACCTCCAGGGTTGCTCGGAGATACCATGTCCCGTCAGCATTGGGCAGGATGTCCCCTCGCTGAGTGCCCTGCTGCTCCTGCTCACCCCGCATCCACATCACCCACACAGGTTTTGGGTAGAATCCTGAGACATGGCACACAAGCTGTAGATGGCCAGGTCCAGGACTGAGGCCATGGGACAGCCAGGCCTCGGGCTTCACTGCAAAGGACAGAAATGATATTCAAATACAGACTTGGAGTTTCATATCTCCACAGCAGTTTAGAAGTTTAGATAGACACATCGTTCGCATTTCTTCTTCTTTTTTTTTTTTTTTTGAGACAGGGTCTCACTCTGTCACTATGCTGCAGTGCAGTGGCATAATTATAATTATAGCACACTGTAACCTCAAACTCTTGGGCTCAAGCAATCCTCCTGCCTCAGCCTCTTAAGTAACTGGGACTACAGGTGTGTGCTACCATGACTGGATAACTTATTTTTATAGAGACAGAGGTCTCACTATGTTGCTCAGGCTGGTCTGGGATTCCTGCCCTTAAGCGGTCCTCCCGCCTCAGCTTCCCAAAGCACTGGGATTACAGATGTGAACCACTGCACCCAGCCTTTCCCACTTCTGGGTGGCTCTTCCTTATTCCAGATTGGAAGGGTATGGTGGAAGGGTATGATTTTCAAATCAAAAGGTCTTGGAGGGAGGGTGCAGGACTGACCTTGCTGCTGGAGATGTGCCTTTCCTGCATCAAGAAGACCCAAGATGAAACGTGGGCAGGTGTCACTGAGGAGACTGTGTGTTATGTCATTTTTATGCTGATTCTGATTAAGCATTTTGCAGAGACGCTTGGCCATATTCCCAGCCACTGGAGATGGCAACCATGAATTTTTCTGGAAGCTGATGAAATCTGATCCTTGATAAGCTAACCGAAGGAAGCTTCCTGAGAACTTTCCAGAGTGCAGTTCACAGCCTCCTGTCCACTGTATCTCAAAAGGATCTGGGGTTATGAAATACGGAAAAGAGGGAGAAAAAAAAGATAAAATGAAATGAGTAGAAGCAAAGATTGTAGGAGTAGAACCAAAGATTGCAGAAGCAGAAGGGGGAAGTTTGCAGGGTTTGACATAATGGAATAAAATTTGGTTTGGTCAGGGATTCAGAGAAAGAGGAATTGGTGGAAGCTGTAGGTGGAGGAAAAGATTAGTAACATATGGAAGAGGGCAGATTGGTCAAAGAAAGTGATGTGAATGCTGTGGGTGAGGAAGGACTTGGTGTAAGAGAACTGGGATTACAACAACTTAAGTTGAATGGAATGCAATGGGTTACAATTGAGTATTTATAGAGAGACTGTTGAAGAGAATGAATGAGAAAGTGAGAAAGCTGACGGTATCTGGTTGTAGGGCAGGAAGAAGGGTGGCCATAGGATACCTGTAAGAAAAGGTAATAATGCATAACCCTGCAGTCAATAAGAGAGGAGTTCATAAGTAGCAGAGGTGTTTGAAGAGTTAGGGTCTGGATAAGAGCCCTTGCCCAAAAGTATGCAATTGCAGTTTTATGATGGAAAGAATAGAATAAGATACAGAAGAGAGTCAGGCTGTTTCCTACAGGAATAAGAAACATTGAGACATCCCCTGTCTCCCACCTCCCTACTCCCCATGGAGGAAACTGAACTCACACTCAATCTGTATTTCACGGGAGTATCTATGCATTTCCTCAAGGAACCGATCGCAGCGTATATGAAATAACATTTCCAGTTCCTTCCACTCCTCGTTGCTGAAGTTTCCCCTGGACCAGGGCCACAGGAAAATGATGGTGCTGGAATTTCTGTGCAAGGTGTGGGTCTGCAAATCACCCAGATAACCTGAGATCCGATTTCGTTTCCAGGAATGGTTGTAAAAGGATGCGATCTGGATGACATGGAAGGAGACAGGCTCCTTGAGCCCTGTGGCAAAAGAACAAATAGAATAGGGAGAAAGAAATTGAAAAAGAGAATGGAGAGAGGCCAGAGTGGGAAAACTCAGAATCTGGAAAAAAGGGGATCCATCATGGTCTTAGCAGATGTTTGCTTGCCACAGAGCCCCATGACTTATCAACCACCTTCTTCAGAGCTCGGGGACTTGGAGTCATGGACAGTCAGAATGGAACCAGCCTGGCACTCTCACTTTCCAGGTATATGCTAGGGAAAGCACACACACATATACACACACATACACACATGTGCACACACACAAACACACACACACACAGACCTTCATCCACCCAACTGGGCAGTTGTCAGAGTTCTTACCGTCTGCATTGCCACCACCTGGGAGAACAGCTAGCAATGGAAGTGGCAAAAACAGCATGTCATTTGCAGTTGTTATTTCCTTCTCTCAGAAAAAATGGTCTTTGATTTCTGTTCCAAACAAACCTACCCCCACGATATCTCTATTCTGACTTCTTTCTGCAACCAACAGACAAACCTCCCGTCACTGTAACAAAGAAAATTCACTCCAAAAACCCTGAGACGCCTGTTTAGTCTCTCATTTCCCTCTGGTTCTGACTCTCCTCTCTAGTTTCCAACTTCTCTCCTTGTCACCAACTTCCAACTTACTCACCTTCCCCTAATTCAACTGCTATGGAACAAGTCTGACGTGGCGTTGAAACGGACCTTTTTTTCCCTCAATCATACAATAAGAACATAAAACTAAATGGCTCCCAAAGTGCCGCCCAATGTTCCCATGTCCCTGCTGTTTTTGATCACTCTGTCCTTTTCAATATTTTCCCATGTATTTTCTTCCTGTCTCTTCACCCCCTTACTACATTCTCATTTCTGATTTAACATTGATTGATTTGCTTTGTCAGAGTCTCCTATGACTGCCCTGTGTGACAGTATAAACTAACACCTTTTCTCCATTATTCTTAGAGAAGAGCCAGTAACCATCACAAAAAAAGAAAAAAAAAACACTACTACTAAAATATATAAAGAAAATTTCCTCTGTTTTATTTTCATTGATATACATTCACTCACCCAACAGACTCTCTTAGCACCTGCCTGGAGTCAAGCATCTTGGTACTTAAGAATATGCAGTGGTTGACAACACAATCACTTTATTGAAGGAGTTTTTATTCTACTTAGGGAGAAAAACACAAGAACTATAAATCTTGGTGTACTGAGTTTTATTATACTGTATACACTCTCTGGATAAAAACAAGGCCTGCTTGAAATAATATTTTCTAAAATGGGGACTCCTAACTAAAGTTTGCCAGCCCAGAATTTTGACTTCAATGGTTGACTTGGATATTAGTTCCATGTCGTTATCGCACTGTATCCCCACCTAACACAGTACCTCGCAAGTGGTAGGTGCTTAGTGAATATTTGTCAAATGAATGAATGAATTCAGCCAATACATCCATTTTTTTAATTATGGAGGAGATATTCAACATGAAACTTTTTAAAGATATCATAAAAGTTACTTGTAACCCTACATAGTGAGATGAGAATCTCATACACTTTTATTAAGGATAAAAGTACAAGTTACTGCCATGAGGTTTACATAAAGGATCCTGCTATAAATTTCCTATTACTTATAAGAAACTAGTCAGAACTTGAGAGCAGTGAAGTTAATGGAATATTCCAAAGTCTGTATCCCAGGATCCCTTTTTATTAGTCCTACTTGGATGTTTCAGGGTTGTTTTTTCATAAATGAGTCTTTGCTGGACAGATTTACATTCTTCTTTTATGCTGCTTGTTATTGTTCAAGGACTTCTAAATATATGTTTGTGCTTTGTAGGTATCATCCATATAAATGTGTTTGGGCTATTTACTTTATTGTTTGGTTTTCAAAAAAATTATCTGAAGGTAATTTAGGGGAAAAATTTTTTTTTCTCGAGATACGGTTTCACTCTGTTATTCAGGCTGGAGTGCAGTGGAATGATCATAGCTCACTATAACCTCAAACTCCTCAAGCAATCCTCCTGTGTCAGCCTCCGAAAGTGCTGGGATTATTGGTATGAGCCACCAGGCATGGCCTGCAAATAATTTTTGTTTGTTTGTTTGTTTGTTTTTTGTTTTGTTTTGTTTTGTTTTGAGACAGAGTCTCACTCTGTCACCCAGGCTGGAGTGCAGTGGCGTGATCTCAGCTCACTGCAATGTCTGCCTCCCAGGTTCAAGCAATTGTCCTGCCTCAGCCTCCCAATAAGCTGGGATTACAGGTGTGTGCCACCATGCCTGGCTAACTTTGATTTTATTAATAGAGATGGGGTCTCACCATCTTGGTCTTGAACTCCTGACCTCAGGTGATCCACCTGCCTCAGCCTCCCAAAGTGCTGGGATTACAGATAATTTTTTTAAAGTTAAGATTAGCATGCAAAAAGCTGTAAAGAGCTTCATTTTCATATTTACAATTTTTTGAAGCTGGACCATCAAAATCACAACTTGAATTTATCAAAGAACTGAAATATCAGGGCAACCAGTTAACCCAAAATATAAAGAAAGACAGACTCCTCCAAGGACGGAAGGAATGCAAACCCTTGTTTACTTGGGACAGATGCCAGACACTGTACAAGCCAGTAAGAAGAAAAATTCAGCTAAAATTGTAAACAAATTAGTAAAGGCTAGCATGAGTATATAGAAGCTCTGGGAGTCATAGAAACAGGGAATTTCACATCACTCTCTAAGCCCTTTTCTGTAAACCTCACTAGGGTCTTCTGAAAGATTAGGATCAGAGATGTAGACCACATAAATCCTCTCTCATGATGCGGGCCTGAGGTATGAGAACAGCTACTGCATGGGAAAGGTAGTAAGTCCCAACTAGACCTGTCTCCTCTATTGCAAGAAAGAAAAAAAAACCAAAAATCTGGCCAGTAGTGATGGGTCACACCTGTAATCCCAGCACTTTGGGAGGCCAAGGCAGGCAGATCACAATTTCAGGAGTTTGAGACCAACCTGGTCAACATGGTGAAACCCCATCTGTACTAATAATACAAAAAATTAGCCAGGTGTGGTGGTGCACACCTGTAGTCTCAGCTACTTGAATCCAGGAGGCGGAGGTTGCAGTGAACTGAGATCATGCCACTGCATTCCAACCTGGGCAACAGAGCAAGATTTGGCCCAAGATGGCCAAATAGGAACAGCTCCAGTCTCCAGCTCCCAGTGTGAGTGGCACAGAAGATGGGTGATTTCTGCATTTTCAAATGAGGTACCAGGTTCATCTCACTGGGTCATGTCAGACAGGTGGTGCTGGTCGGCAGGTGCAGCCCTACCAGCGAGAGCTGAAGCAGGGCGAGGCATTGCCTTGCCTGGGAGGTGCAAGGGAGAAGGGAATTCCTTTTCCTAGCCAAAGGAAATTGAGACACACAACACCTGGAACATCGGGTAACTCCCACCCTAATACTGTGCTTTACCAAGGGTCTTAGCAAATGGCACACCAGGAGATTATATCCCACACCTGGCTGGGAGGGTCCCACGCACAGGGAGCCTCCCTCATTGCTAGCACAGCAGTCTGAGATCTAACTGCAAGGCAGCAGCGAGGATGGGGGAGGGGTGTCCGCCATTGCTGAGGCTTAAGTAGGTAAACAAAGCCACCAGGAAGCTCGAATTGGGTGGAGCCCACCACAGGTCAAGGAGGCCGGCCTGTCTCTGTAGACTCCTCCTCTGGGGACAGGGCATAGGTAAACAAAAAGCAGCAGAAACCTCGGCAGAGGTAAATGCCCCTGTCTGACAGCTTTGAAGAGAGCAGTGGATCTCCCAGTATGGAGGTTAAGATCTGAGAATGGACAGACTGCCTGCTCAAGTAAGTCCCTGACCCCTGAGTAGCCTAATTGGGAGACATCCCCCACTAGGTGCAGACCAACACCTCGCACCTCACACAGTGGGGTACACCCCTGAGACAAAGCTTCCAGAGCAAGAATCAGACAGCAACACTCGCTGTTCAGCAATATTCTATCTTCTGCAGCCTCTGCTGCTGATACCCAGGCAAACAGTGTCTGGAGTGGACCTCAAGCAAACTCCAACAGACCTACAGCTGAGGGTCTTGACTGTTGGAAGGAAAACTAACAAACAGAAAGGACACCCACAACAAAACCTCATCAGTACATCACCAACAACAAGGACCAAAGGCAGATAAAACCACAAAGATAGGGAAAAAGCAGTGCAGAAAAGCTGGAAATTGAAAAAATCAGAGCGTATCTCCCACTCCAAAGGAACACAGCTCATTGCCAGCAACAGAACAAAGCTGGACGGAGAATGACTCTGACGAGTTGAGAGAAGAAGGCTTCAGTCGATCAAACTTCTCAGAGCTAAAGGAGGAACTATGTAACCAGCGCAAAGAAACTAAAAACCTTGAAAAAAGACTTCACAAATGACTAACTAGAATAACCAAAGTAGAGAAGTCCTTAAAAGAACTGATAGAGATGAAAACCATAACACGACAACTACATGACAAATGCACAAGCTTCAGTAACCCACTCGATCATCTGGAAGACAGAGTATCAGTGATTGAAGATCAAATGAATGAAATGAAGTGAGAAAAGAGGTGTAGAGAAAAAGAGTAAAAAGAAATGAACAAAGCCTCCAAGAAATATGGGATTATGCGGAAAGACCAAATCTACGTCTGATTGGGGTGCCTGAAACTGATGGGGAAAATGAAACCAACTTGGAAAACCCTCTGCAGGATATCATCCAGGAGAACTTCCCCAACATAATAGGGCAGGCCAACATTCAAAT